CCATAATTCCAGTTTCAAACTTTGAAATGTCGCCAGGGGACACAATTTCTTTGTGGTTAAGATATTATTATTACCTCATTGCAAAATGTTTTACTTTGGGGTTCTAGCTTTAAAAAATAACATCTTCAAGTTTCAGAAGTGCCAAATGCAGTAAGTAAATTTTTTTTTGTGGATTCTAAATGTATTTAGTATTTACCTGTTACTGAACTGAAAAATATAAATGAAAAATGAAAGCTCCTTGGGGGCCATGTGGATTGAATGAGCCATGGGCCCTCATGGACCCTTGTTATTATTCATTTACTCATTTAAGTCACCTTTAAAGAAGTAGCCATTTATTTCTTTGGCCATTTGGGGGCAGCAGTAAAAGTTGAATCTAGTTTGATCTTATAAATATGTTCCAGCAAATTTCAAGCCAGCAAACTGCTTACACACTAACCCATACCACAACTTTATTCTACCATAAACATTTTTATTTTCTTGTTCGTGTCAAATATGAACGATTTACTACTTTCATCAATCATAAATATTTGATTGCTTCAAGGCCTTATGATATCCTAGAAAATATGCAATACTGATCACCTCTCTCATTGAATTTCAGTGGTTTAGTTTAGTAAAATAACCTCCATAGGAGATGAATGGGTGACCTTAGATTATGTTCATCCATCAGAGAGTACACACACCTTGTTGATTTTGGAATACATTTTAAGTGCCTATTATATTTGTATTCACTGCAGTTATTCATGTAAACCAGTAGTCTGAGACATGACAGCCACCACAACCCCTAGTAGACCCCCCACACACAACAACACAAACTATAACACCCTTTGTTGTTAAATACCAACCATGTGCAATGTGTGCAATATCGTGAATAACTGTGCAATATGGCTGCTTCATCTTCAGAACTGTTACAGGCTGTGTATTTTCTAAATTGTGTGACTGTTTTAAAAAAAACATTTTTTATCTTTAATATATATATTTTTTTTATGCATTGTTAAACATTAAGCTGTCTGGCTCTGCTGTAACAAATGTAAATATCCCCTCTGTGGGACGAATAAAGCTATTTTGATTCTGATTGTTTAACCCTTGTGTGGTGTTCATATTTCTATTACTCAGCCAGTGTTCGTGGGTCTAGTAGTGGACCCGCTGTAAAACCTAACATTGTGTTAAATAAGAATGAATAAGTAAGCCTTACTTATTTTTTTTTAACTTGTTATTAACACTCAGTTTAAATAATTAAGCTGTAATACAGGGTCGAAAAACCTAACTAAATCAATGTAATTGATGTGAGCTAATTTCAACAAGGCGTTTACGACAGAGAGTGAAATTCAATGAATACACATACTATACAGAGATGCTGTATGAGAAACCAATGTGATTTGGGAAAATTGCACAATATAAATCTATTTTAGTATACCTCAACAATGGAATTATGACATGGTACCTTTAACATCACTAGAATTTGATCACAACAATAGCATGGATGCAATTTAGTCCTCTTCTCACTTTCACATATTTCATAATACACGTTTTGCATTCTAAATCAGGTAAATACAACACTGTAGTTTCTAAATGGTTGTATAGGTGATGTTTGATTATTTTTGCTGGTTTGTCGTTCTTGATTTTCAGATTTCCCAAGCAGATCGAAAACCTCCGATGCAGTGGACCTGTAAGTTCTGCTCATTTTGCTCTGTAAAAAGAGCTTTTTACTTAAGCATTACCGCCTCAAACATGGCTGCCATACTAGGACATCACCACTCCCATGCCTCCATAAGGAATGCCTTTGCACATTTAAATCTTTTAATGCACTCAAGGTTCACTTATCAACATGGCACACTCGTAAGGATATCGAGAAAGTGAGTGAAACAGCGTTCCATTGTCAGCTATGCGACTTTATAGAGCCTTGCAGTCAAGCAGATTTTTTCACACATTTGCGAAGACATTTGAAGTTGAAGCAAAAGGTGACTTGTCCATATCAAGGCTGTAACTTTCAGAGCAATGTTTATTCCACCTTTAATTCACACAAAAGCAAAGAACATCAGATGCAGGATAGGTCGGCATTCAAACCTGACATTTTTTCAGAGAATATACTTGAAGATCTTCCCCCTAATCTGAATGATCCACCTGAGGATAGTGTCCCTGAAGCTGAGGATAGTGTCCCTGAAGCTGATGATGTTGAGTTCGGTGAAGATGTGGAAGATTTGGAGAGTCAGTTGGAACATAATGTTGCTGCTCTTTTTCTGAAGATGTCATCAATTCTTCACATCTCTGAAAGTGCAATGCAAGAGGTTATAGAGCAGGTCAACCAAATGTATTTGCTGTCGAAGCCCTTGTTACATTCCTCAATTCGAAAAATACTAAATCAACATTGTGAAGAAGCTGATAACTCTTTAGTGAGCGAGATAGCCAGAGTAGTCACTGAGAATAATGTTTTCCTGAAATTCACTTCTGCTGGGGGATCATTGTCAACTGCTAAAAGACGAACATCATACATTACAAGAGAATTCTCTGTGGCAAAGCCTGTTGAATTTCTCCTAAAAAACGACAAGCAGTCAGTGGTGTATGTCCCCATACTGGAAATGCTGCAGACTTTGCTAAGCAATGGAGACATTTTGGACAAGGCCATGTCACTTGAGAACAATTTTTCACAGGGATACAAATCGCACAGGGATGGTTCCCACTTTAAAGTGAGGTAGCTAACTCCTTGGGAACCTCGAGAAAGAAACACAAGTTATGTGCTATCTACTGGGTACTTGGCAATCTGCCCCCTAAATATCGCTCTTCTCTTCATTCCATTCAGCTTGCTATTCTTTGCAAGGTTGACAACATCAAAGGCCATGGCTATGCTGAAATTCTCCACCCTCTCATCCAGGACCTTGTGTCTCTTGAGCAACATGGTGTATATGTCGAGCAGCTAGGAGCCAGCATAAAAGGCACTGTATTATTTGTCGCTGCTGACAATTTAGCTGCCCATTCTTTAGGAGGCTTCTTTGAAAGCTTCAGAGTTAGCCAGATGTGTCGATTCTGTATGGCAACGCGGGAGGAAATACAACACAAGGAAGTTCGGACAGGCTCATTCCAACTAAGAACAAAAGAAAATCATGACAGACAGGTGCAAGATGTGTTGCATGATTCTACAATGGCTCAACAATATGGTGTCAAAGGAAGCTGTCCACTTAGTGAAAGCTTGGAACATTTTCATGTTGTCGATGGTTTCCCACCAGACCTTTTGCATGATCTTCTGGAGGGTATCGTTCCAACTGAATTGGCCTTGTGTTTGAAGGCACTGATATCAAAGAAATACTTCTCCCTTGAATTCCTGAATGGGGCCATTAAGAAGTTTCCGTATACATTTTCAGACAGAACAAATCAACCCCAGCTCATCACGAAGACCTTTTCCTCAAAGGGAACAATTGGAGGAAATGGTCATGAAAATTGGACACTACTCCGACTTCTGCCACTACTGGTTGGTCATCACATTCCTGAGGAGGATGAAACATGGGAGGTTTTAATGAACCTAAAAGATGTGCTGGAATTGTCAGTGTCCTCAAGCTTCACAGAGGAGTCGTTGCACTTTCTTGAATGCAAGATCTCAGAACATCGAGATTTGTTTCAGAAAGTTTTCCCAAATCAAAGAATGCGCCCAAAGCACCACTACATTGAGCACTACCCTCAATCGATTCAAAAGTTTGGTCCATTATGTGACGTGTGGACAATGCGTTTTGAAGGAAAACACAAGTTTTTCAAAAAAGTTGTGAGGCATTCTCACAATTTCAAGAATGTAGCCCTCACTTTAGCTCTCAGACACCAAAAAATGATAGCATTTCATTTAGCTTCCACCTCCTTTTTCAAGCCATCTGTTGAAATCAATAAAGTAAAGTCTGCCATGGTGGCTTCATTTCCTGAAAATGTGCAGAACTTTCTTCATCACAGGAATGCCCAGCAGAACACAGTCCTTGTAGCATCATCTGTCTGCATAGATGGCATTAAGTACAGTGCTGATATGGTCATTTCAGTTGGATGTTGCTCAGGGCTCCCGGATTTCAGACAAATAACTAAAATTGTGGTAATCAATACCGACATATTTTTTGTCTGCAGACTTATGACTTCCTGGTATGATGAGCATCTGCGAGCATATGAGCTGTCTAGAAGCCATTTGTCCACCTTTTCAGTCACACAGTTGTGTGAACTGAACGATGTTTTCCCCCTGTCACTCTACAGAGTTGGAGGCAAACAGCTTGTTACCCTTAAACGGTACATATTATGCTGAGCGATGTGAATTCAGCATTGTGGCAATCTCACAAATGTCTTCCTTTTCCCCAGGATAAGACCTCAACATGGACCAACGGTTATTGCTGAGAGTTGTCATCACCGAAGATTCTATTATGAAGTTAACTTTAAATAAGAGACCGGATTCCGTCGAAGAATTGATTGCTCAACTCAGGGATAAATTATCTCTGCAGTATGAATTTAAACTTCAGTATGAAGATCAAGACTTCAATAATGCCCTCTGCAATTTGACGGAAATATCAGATTTGCCTGAAAGAGCTACACTGAACATCATCCCTATCGTGACTCTCCATTTAACTACCATTTCATCACCCTCAACAAGATCAGAAACGAGTGAGTGCAGCACAGCAGACACTGAGATCCTGTCGACTGCAGGAACCTCACCATTGCTAAGACATCAACAATGGCCAGAGTTCTTTAACACACCAAATTTCTCAGTTGATGTGAACTACAGACTTAGACAGGGAGATCTTGCCTATATGAAAGATGGAACACGACTGACTCCATCAAGAGATATGAAGCATGACATATTACAAAAGCTTGCTGAAACAGTGTACAGTTTCAAGGCTTATCCTGATGATGATGACTTCAGCAGTGTTGCAAAATCCCTTATTAGCAAACATCCCTGCCTTACGGAGCCTGGTTCTCAGCCTGGATGGTATGGCTGGAAGAATAGCCTGAAATTTAAAATGGCCAACTATCGCANAGACTTAGACAGGGAGATCTTGCCTATATGAAAGATGGAACACGACTGACTCCATCAAGAGATATGAAGCATGACATATTACAAAAGCTTGCTGAAACAGTGTACAGTTTCAAGGCTTATCCTGATGATGATGACTTCAGCAGTGTTGCAAAATCCCTTATTAGCAAACATCCCTGCCTTACCGAGCCTGGTTCTCAGCCTGGATGGTATGGCTGGAAGAATAGCCTGAAATTTAAAATGGCCAACTATCGCACAAAACTTCGAAAAGCTTGATGTGAGGATGTAGCAATCAACGGAGGAAAAATAAGTAAAGTCAACCCACAGGGTGAATCGTCAAGCAAGAATATAAAACGACCAAAAAGAGGTGAAGCAAATTATCTGCCTAATTTACCTGAAGGACATGATGAAACAAGCCTCGAAAATGCCAGAAAGATTCTCACGGAGGAAATGAAGAAAAAAACACCTAATGGCACTCTCATCTCACAAATGATGGACCAAACATTCCCACTACGCAGACGAGAGATTGTGAAAAAGGAGCCTGCTGTACAGAACATGGTTGAACGATGGCCGGCCCTTTTCACAGAGAGACAGGAGGCTACTTTTAGTTTGTACTGAATAATGCCTTTAAGGTTGACTTTCCTCCATGTCAGCATTTCACTTTACCAACTTCCCAACCACTAATATAATGCCAATCAAAATAAGGCTGCAACTAATAATTATTTTCATTATCGATTATTCATCCAATTATTCTGTAATTGATTAAAGATATGGTCTATAAAAGGTGATGTTTTTAAATGTTTTGTTGTGTAAGTTCAACATCTAAAGATATTGACTTTAATATGATTTTAAATTTATTTTTGATTGATAGGAAGAATTTTACCAAAATCTTTTCATGAAAAATTACTTACCACATTCATTATCATAACATTTGGCAAATATTATTGTTATATATGTTAATGTTAATATTATATTGTTGTGGGCTATAAGTGTACCCTGCCTTTCTATCTAAGCAATAGTGATTGCCTGCTTGCACAATTGTTATGATTTAAACTAATGTCTTCCTAATGTGCTGGTTTTCCATCTCCTACCCCACCCCCTTCTCTACTTTTTCAGGTATTTGCCGAATTTAATCGGATTACCAGTCGGAACCTCGAAGCAGACTTCTTTGAGGCTCTGGACCAGCACACCCCAGGTTTCATCCAACTGTTCAAGTCAAGAAAAGGATCGGTTGGACAGAAACTGACAGAGTTGATGCAGAGCATCAACTGGCCGGTAAGTAATATAACTTAGCAACTTTTTGTCACATACATTGATGACGATATGGTACTACTTAAAAAGCCTTCTAAAATAATTAAAACAACCCCTCAAAAAGATGGAAAAGGCCAAAATGTTTCATCTTGTGAGTTTGTCATTTAATCTCATCTGTATCTTCTTTATCTCTATCATTAGACACCGGACGTGACTGAACAGCGCTCTGTTGTCCTCAAAGGCATTCCAATTGTTCTTGGCGACGACTCCAGGGATTTTTTCAAGACATGCTTTGTAAGTACTTGAAAACAAAAAAACGGTTTGGTTTGCATTTATTGAAAAGTTATATCCCCTATTTACACAAACTGTAACCAAAAGATTTAATTTGGTGTGTTCTAAATACTGTACACTAAATTCCATGACCAGGAGTCTAGATTAGAAATGAGGTGTAAAATAAATGTACGTTCCTAGCTGTATATGCATCCATAGCATTAGTTTCCTCATACCACATTTACAGAACCTTCTTGGATATAATGTTACAACGCCGTTTGAGTGTGTACTTGAGCTACATTTTTAGCAAATACTTCAAAGCAAATGCAACATGAATGTTTTCATAGGAAGACCTACTCTAATAGGTAGCGATGATATTCTAAATAATGTGTTTTTCTTTGCAGGATACAACGAGAGATGAGGCCCTATCATCCGTCACCTTTGGTGTGCTGACTGTTCTCAGCGAAGACAGTCCTCAGGAGGGTCCAAGCTCAATGCAACTCGAGCCCATCTCCACTGACATTGTGCTTGAGGGAGGTATTGTGATGGAAAATATCAAAAACTTTCCACAGGCAGTTTGCCTGTTATTTGGCCTGATATACAGTTGCAAGAAAAAGTATGTGAACCCTTTGGAACTACCTCGATTTCTGCATAAATTGGTCATAAAATGTGTTCTGATCTTCATCTAAGTCACAACAATAGACAAACACAGTCTGCTTAAGCTAAAACCACACAAACAATTATATGTTTTTATGTTTTTATT